GGTTTACATGTTTTGTAAGGCCAAATTCTGTCATAATAAAATTAATTTCATTTCTGTCAAAGCTTTATGACAGAATTCGCCTTTAAAAAACACGTAAATCTAACACCGAGCTTGTTTTGGCCCTGATTGTATGCCTGCCTTCAGTTTTGTACCGGAGTTGAAAACGTTAATTTTGAGTGGTTTAGTTTTTGAATAGTCATGCAATATTGCCATCAAACAGGACACAGCAGAAAGTGACCATCACTGGACAAACAGGAATAACTCAATGTGTAAAAAGCTATGACTGAAAACTAAACTGCATATATATATATATATATATATATATATATATATATATATATATATATATATATATATATATATATATACCAAATTGCTGCCTGTCGCGTTTGTGATAAACATTAATTGCAATGATCAAATGATTCAAAATCAATATTTTCTCTGAATTAACATCGCGAATAATTTAAATGCAATTAAGAAAATTTCTGGTAAGCAATTATTGCTGAGCAGGGCGTAGACTAGGGTTATTCTTTGTTACTTTCACTCTGCTTCCACTAACCCCGGTTTAAGGTGTGATCCAAAAATCAGGGCTGTTGTTATATGGTAGCGCCGACGGTTTTTTTGTTGCTTTCTTGAGATTGAGTGTTATTCTGGAATTTTAGATGGAGGTTTGACCTTGATTGAGATGGTAGGAGACGAGGATATTGCAGAGCGTTCACAGACGACTGCTGATGAGAGAGCATTTGTTGAGTAATTTTACTGCGGGAGAAAGACGTGCGTGCTATCGGCCGTTATGTTGAAGGCTTACAGGCAAACTCACCTGGCTTCATTAGCGGTACAATTTTAGAAGTTTTTCCATATTATGAGTGTTTGACTTCTTGAGATTGACAAATTGAATTTGGTAGTCAGATGCTAAATGGCGTTTGGGCCCAGCTATTTAAAGGAAAGCTGGCATTCAGGGGCGGAAAAAAAAGGTCGACAAAATGTTTGATTTTTTTTTGACAATCCGCCCTTCTTCTCGAGAAAATCCTAGATCCGCCCCTGCTGGCATTCAATTTTTTTGTTCAAAGCCTTCATAAGCTGAGATTTTTTGATGTTCGGCAG